GAAAACTTCTCTAGCGTTAACAGAAGATAATCCTGTTTTCAAGGTTGATGATCAAGAAGTTGTTTATCTATTCGACGTACCACATCTTTTAAAATCAACGAGGAATAACTTTTTCTCTTATAAATTCATATTCAATAATGGAGAAACAAATAAAGGATTTTTAGAACAAATGTATAATTTCGAGAGACAAAAACAATATAGACTTGCACCAAAATTATCCAACGATCATATTTTTCCAAACAATTTTCAGAAAATGAAAGTTAAATTAGCATCTCAGGTATTCAGTCATTCGGTTGCAGTTGCAATGTCTACATATATTGATTTTGGAGTTATATCAGAAGAAGCAAGACCCACTATGGATTTTATAAGAAAAATGAATTTATTTTTCGACATTTTGAATTCAAACACTCTCTCTAACTTTGGAGCCTTTATGGGAACCGAAAAACAAATCTCATTTTTGAAAGAAATGAATGATTTATTCAAAGATTTACGTGTTGAAAATATAGATGGCAAAAATGTAACCAAACAGTTGAAATTCATTTTTGGTTGGCGATTGACTATCAATTCAATTCTCATTTTATTCAACAAATTACAGGCCAAAGGATATAGATACATGTTCACTCGAAATCTTAATCAAGATTGTTTGGAAAATTTTTTCGGACAAATTAGGAACTGTTGTGGAAATGTTAAGAATCCAACTCCTATACAATTTTGTCGTTCGTTCAAGAAAATGTTTGCTTTAAAATATTTTGATCAAACAGACGGTGCAAATTGTATGGAAGATATTAATGAAGTCTTATTGAATATCGCTTCAAACAACATCGTTGAAAATGTGAATCAAAATCTAATAGCTAAACCTACATACACTCCACTTAAAGTCTATACAACCGATTATCGAAATCTCCAAAGTCCTGAAGGCAACTCGTTAGTCTATGTAACCGGCTATTTCTTAAGAAAATGTCTCTCACAACATGCATGTGAAATTTGTAGCAATTTCCATAAACTCAATAATTTGAGTGACAGGGAAATCGTTTTCTGCAACCTTAAATCTTATAGTAACACAACATCGGGAGGTTTAGTTGTGCCCTTTAGAAATATCGTCGAATTTGTTGTAGCATTGGAGGATATTTTTATTCGTGAATTCGAGGAACTGGTTCCTCAAGGAAATATTGGAAGCACACTAAAAAAACACTTCGCAAAAATAACTTTTAGTCACCCATGTGAAAACTTTCCTTTAGACTATTTTATTAATTTATATTGCAGAGTCCGTATTTATTTCACATTGAAATTTGCTAATCGAAGCATAAAAACCGGAAGAGTATCCAAAGTGAATACAAAACTCTCAATACTAAAGCATTTGTAATTATTTCCTATAGAATATGTAGTCAATTATCAGTAGTAATATCCCTGGGACATTGATAATAGACGAGATAATTTTATGACAATCGAAAGCTCGTTCCTTGGTAACAGCCCGAAGCGACGGCTGAGGGCTGTTACCAAGCAACGAGCTTGAGAGATTTGTCATAAAATTATGAGGCATTTGTCAATGTCCGAGGGATATTCGGCAAAAAATGTTTTGAAGTAGGCGATGTCAACCGTGTTGTCATAGTGATTGATACACTGAATGTAGTTATTATAATGATGTTGGTTTGATTAGTTGTGATCAATTATATGACCAAAAATTCACTGATTTCATTGGATTTCTTCTTCAGCAAAACATTTTGATTGGGATTTCTTTTGATATACCCATGAGTATTTAAATTTTTTGTTTTGGTATATGTACGCAATTATTATTGTCGATTTTTTTAGTAATATTCGAATAAACTTTAATTCTCAATTTATTTTTGGTTCATTCGTACCTATTCAATGCCCAACCACGCCTATCACATGAATATTTCGACCACAGTCAACTTTCGAATCATCACAGGTACATTTGCATCGCGCGAAATAATCTTCCATACCCCCGTATCTACAGCAAATTCGTGGAATCGGTGCCGCACGCAACCGCAAGGAACACGTGCAGCGGCCCCTTCAGATCTCTGAACATGAAACAGCCGACGACGAGTGAGTTAACTGATACCCATTCCTTAAACTGTGCCCAAGTATACGAAGAGACTTGATGAAGTTTTCAAAGACTTAGGTTTTGAATGCGTTTATCAGTCTGGGTCAAAATTAGGAAATTTATTAGGCAATCCGAAAGATAAAGTGGACACACTTGAAAAGTCGGGAATATACGAAATGAGTTGTAATGATTGTGATTAAACATATATAGGCCAAACCAGGCGACCCATAAAAACAAGGTTCAAAGAACACATAACCCATTCGAAATATGGCAGGTTAGATAAATCTTGTGTAGCCGAATATATGTTCAATCACAATCATAACACACATATCACTAATCTCAAAGCAAGTTAATAATACTAGAAAATTAGACGCATATGAAAGATTAGAGATATTTAAGAATAGCAATAGATTAATGAATAAGGATAATGGACCTATTCCTTATAGCCCTCTATATAGTTTTGTAATATAAAAATTAAGATTAACATGTCAACTCAACCATGACAAACATTAACTTGACGGTTAGCATTTTTCACGGTTGGGTGAACATATACCTAGTAGAGTCACTGGATGGTATTAGTTAGATAAGACTTCGGACACAGCTGAACTTTTGTCCTTTTCTATTTTCTATAATACAATGGTTTAGGTGAATAAAAGAATAAGACATATATTCTGCTCTTTGTCTTTTCAATTTCCCTAGTAGCGCCTGATTGTCAGATACGACTTTATAGGTTATATTTTCTGTCAAATTAATCATAACCGTAGATGGAAAATGGATATAGGGTACAAACACCCACTTTAATTTATAGTCATACACTACTAGCAGAACAACTGTTATATAAATGAAAAGAATGCATATAACAACATTTTAATATTAGAAAATATACACATATGAAACTGTACTCCAGTGATAAATATAAAACATGAAGTTATTAATATTAACTTAAAGGTAGGTATTCTCAATATACAGGAAGTAACATGAGTACGTGAAGTACTAAGACAATTTCAAGAAATAAAGTCTATAGAAGCTTGTGTCCGGAAATGCTTCATTTCGTAGATACAGGGTGTTGAAATACAGAGAAAAAATCATGTTTCGATAAACATTTCATAGGAAAAATAGTTATTTATTATACAAGGGAAAAAAGTAGTAGATTTTAGCTCCAGGTTGTGTTGTCTCCCGACGCGTAGCGGAGGGAGACAAAAAACCGTGAGCTAAAATCTAATATTTTTCCCGTGTATAATACACTATTTTTTTCTGTGACAGAAGGAAGGACGAATCAATATTGAGAAGATATTACATTATTTCGAAATCTGAAAATTATCGACGTGAAATTTCAAGTTTTTAACAGTAGGGACACCTGCGTTTTATAGACATCTTTATCATTCTTTTGAAGTAATCAAATATCTGATGTCACTTTTTGTCAGTTCAATTCTGTGATTTGTTTTTGAAAAATTGCGAATTCAGTAGTTGTTTAGTAATATACGAAACCGCGAAGTCGAATGGAAGATGAAAGGACTTGCAGTTCTTTCTCGGAGACGGTATTATTGACTCATTTTTCGGAACTATAGCACAACAAAAGCCATTAACAGAGTATATATATGTGATATATATATCCGGGAAAAAAGTACTCACTTTTTTCCCACGGGAAAAAAGTAATTTATGAAAAGTGACATTTTATAACCTGCCAACAGAGATGAAATGCCAAACTTCTTTCCCGTCACAGAAAAAAGTAGTTTATTTTGACGAGACCCACCAAATACTTGGTTTTGTAAAGTTCTCAGCAACTTCACTTAGCACCCTATAGGAGCTAAGTAACATGGATCGTTATAGAAAATATCTCCAAAACGATAACCTCCAGCGTAATTAAGGCCCTCATATATAATAATTCCCTTGATACATAAATAACTATTCACTTTTCACTGTTAAATTCTGAATTTGGTCGGCACCAAAAACGCCATTCAATAATATATCACGTTGTAGTTTATTTGCTTATCTTAGTTTCGTTTTCAAATTTTCAATTTCATTATGTAATTTTGCTATCCTTTCCTCTTTTTCCTTGATTATTTTGTTTTGTATTTTGTGTGATGATAATAACGGAATTTTGTTCTTGAAATCGTCTGCTTTGTGAATTGGTGGAACAGCAGATTCTCTCTAACAGATTTTGAAATGTTCTGTTTGAAAATGGGCCTAAAATATAGTTTTTTTCTAATTAGATGCTGTATTAAGAAGTGAATTTCAATGAGTACCTTACAAATTTCGCTCGTCTTCAAATTGATTTTCCACCCAGGCCGTTTCATATCTTCCTTCCATAAGCGAATGGTTGATATTTGTTGGAAAATTGAATGAATTATATCCATTTTTCTCAGAATTGGCACAATTTATTACACAGCAAGTGATTTCCATAGCTGCTTCATTCTCAAAAGTATAATGATTATGTAATTTTATTTCAATTCTGACGTTCATACAATGTATTGTCAAATTCAAACAATTTTGAATGAAAAAGCGCGTGACGACTATGGTGCTCTTGTCACAATGCAAGGTGTGTAACTTGATAAATCTAAACATTCAAAAACCCTAACCGTTGTCATTTCTGTGTCCGAACTCTTATCAAACTAATACCATCCAGTGACTCTAATACCTAGTACATAAGCAGCACACTAGAATAGGATATTTAGTTTCAATCTTCTCCTGGAGATGCTAACATTGTTAGCGAAACACGTGTCGAGGCGTTTAAAAAATCGGATTGGTTAGTGGTAAAACAGCGTAGTGTATTATTGTGCCAAAGGTTCCAGTCTTCGATAGATACCTAGCATCAATATGAGTTTGCTAACATACCGTAAATCTGCTGATCGCTGGCTCTCAGTCTATTTGTGTCTACTAATAATAAATGAATAATTTCAGGCCGCGCGTGAAGAGAGACCGCCCGCCGCTGTACGAAATGGAGTTCGTCATTCTGGGCAAGCCGCCCAAGGGCAAGGACGAAATCAAGAGGATCATCGTGTCGATGGGCGGCCGTGTGGGCACGAAAATCCACAGCAGAGTGATGGCGATCATCTCCACAATGGAGGAGGTCGAAAGGATGAACAGCAGGATGCAGGCGGCGGAATACGAGCAGATACACGTGGTGCCGGAGGATTTCCTTGAGGAGGTGGAGATGAATGCAGGCAACATTCCCGATTTACTGATTAGAAGGAGCATCTGCAATTGGGGGTCGGACGTGAGTTGTGTGTGAATTGTACACCCTTATCAACATGAAATTGCAGCATATAATAGTATGATACACAGGCGAATGTCCCTCTTTCATAAGTAAATTTCAATAAAGGACTCAATATTATAAAACAGATTGCAGTCAACAACGGATACAACGTTAATCTGATTGACAGTATTCTTTCTAAAAACCTTCATAATAAAGCTATTCAAGAAGTTTATCCTACCATCGAGAATAATAATCAAAACTATAGAACTTTAACCTATTTCGGATTTTCAACTGGAAAATTAGCTTCATTTCTACATAAACAGCACTTGAGAGTAGCGTATAGAACAAATAACAGGTTGGGAAGGTTTATCAAAAATAATAAAGACAAAACTTCTAAATTCGAAAAATCAGGGGTAGGGGTATACAAACTCAACTGTGGATCTTGTCCTAAGGTATATATCGGTCAGACAGGTCGTACGTTTAATCAGCGCATTCATGAACATAAGATGAATTTTTTGAAAAAGAAAACAAATTCAACATACGCCAACCATATATTAGTAGAAAACCATAGTTTTTATGATAATTTCGAAATTCTACATGTAGAAAATAAAATAATGAAACTCAATCATTTTGAATCATTAGAAATCAACAAACTCAAAAGTTTTGACATTTTACTTAACGATCAATTAGACCTCAATAGTTCACCACTGTTGAATTTGTTTTCTTAGTAGGTAATAATATCTATGTGCTATCAACCCTTTCAAGTTAATCCAGTATACTGTAATTTAATGTAGATATTGTGCCTAATTTCCGAAAATGGAGGTTTATCGATCCTGTCCACAGGTAATTAATCCTTCAAGTTGGGAAAGTAGGATATATAAAAGATAAGCAAGCCAACGTTGGTTTAGTTCATTGTACCAGTATATCACCTGACGAAGCTACTGTGTTAGCGAAACCTGTTGTGTGTTCAAGAATTTTGTGAAAATCCTATCGTTTGCCATGGATTTTCATCAAGTAACGGCCGAGTTAAAAAAAAAGTGATGTGTCGTCGTTGAAATATTTTTTTCTATGGAATGTTGATCGGAAAATGATTTGATTTCAAGAGACAGATGGTTGAATTTTTCCAAAACATGCTTGGCTGACTTACTTTCATTCACAGAACCTCAGAACACACAACAGTTAGGTCAAATGTCAGGCAACGAGCATCGGCTATATTCCGAATTCAACGGATAGTTCTCAATCTGCTGATTATTCATTCTGAAAGAAAAAAAATCACTGAAAGTGACAGATACTTGTGAGTAGACATACTATTCATTCCAAATATTTCGACTCAACATTCTGCTGAAATTGCTGACTACCAAAAAGTAATGTGGCCTCAGTCAACTGTCATTATTTTAGAGGGAAAACATTGCTCCTTGTCTTATTCATACTAATATTATAAAGAGGAAAGATTTGATTGTTTGTTTGTTTGTATTGAATAGGCTTCGAAACTATTGGATCGATTTGGCTGAAAATTGGTGGGGAGGTAGCTTAGAGCCAGGAGAAGGTCAAAGGATACTATTTATACCGGTACCATTAGGAAATTCAAGATGGCGGATCTAATATATCGGAAGAGTTTTGTAATTATGGTCCGATTCTATTCAAAATTGGTATCTGGGGGTTTTCGAGATCGGAGATTATGATTCTTTCGTCATGATTTGAATATTTTGGCGGAATTTGGGAATTCAGGATGGCGGAACCAATATTGCAGACGAGTTTTGTAATGGAATTTGGTATCTGGTGGTTCTCGGAGTCGGAGATAATGATTCTTTCGTCAAAATTTGAAAATTCGAGATGGCGGACCCAATATGGCGGACGAGTATTGTAATTATGATCCGACTCCCTTCGAAATTGTTATCTGGGTGTATTCGGGTCGGAGATTATGATTCTTTTGTCAAAATTTGGAAAAAAGCGGGATTTGGAAATTCAAGACGGTGGAACCAATATACCGGACGAGTTTTGTGATTATATACCGATTTTATTCACAACTTGTAAGTGCCCGTTTTCGGGGTCAAAAATTATGAATCCTTCGTCAAAATTAGGGAATTCGAGATAGTTTATCCAATATTGCGGATGAGTTTTGTAATTATGTTCCGATTCTATTCAAAATATTCATCTGGGGTTTTAGGAGTCGGATATTATGATTTTTTCGTCAAAATTGGGAAATTCAAGTGAACTAAAAAAAAGTTGAAATACATGGTAAAATAATAGTGTCTTGATGAATATTGAACTGCACAAATATATTATAGAAATAATGTATATAGCAAAACAACTTTCGCGAGGTCTTCTAATAAATAATAATTTACTCATATTATACGGGGTGTTTCATAATTGAATGCTGATCCTGAAGGGCGATGATCCTTGGATGATTTCAAGGAGAGAAGTTTATATCAACATATGTCCTGAACCTATTAGTTTTTGAGCTACAGGGTGTTGAAATCAGAAGTGTACAGCGTTTTTTTAAACAAAACATTCAATATCAGGTCTACGAGGACATCACTGGTAAAAGTAAAAGTTTGATTTTCGTCTCAAAACAAAATGTGTTTTCACGTATAGTGGGTGTCTACTGAATTACCAAAAACAATATCCAAGAACTGAAGAAACAAAATTCTTTGGATATTATTTTTTTACGTGAAAACGGTACGTTGTATGAAAGTAAGTCTAGGAACCGAATTTGCTCCAAAATGAATGAGAATTGGAAAAAAAATCTGGTTCTCAGAAAAATCAGTGGCGTACTATTTTTTTCTTCAAAAATTGTCAGTTCCAACCCCGTACGGACGCCACTGGTGAGAATTTTGAAATATCTTTCACGTAAAAAGATGCTCCTAAATAATGAAAAGGTGTATATAAAATATCATAACAATGTCTAAGAGTGAAGAATTATGATGAAAAACTCATTTTTTTCTTGAAATTTCATCAGCCTGTAGCTTAATAACTGAGAGGTTTAGGACATATGTTGATGTGAACTTTTCTCTTTGAAATCATCCAAGGATTAGCGCCCTTGAGGATCAGCATTCAATTATCAAACACCCTGTATATTATTTAATATTAGAAAATGCCTGTTATTGAAATAATTGACACTGAGAATAACATTCAAATTTCACCAACCATGAAAACGTGCTCCGAAATTACAGCACTGTATTTTTGATATTATATTTTGGAACACAGATTTTCAGCAGTTGAAATCGAAATATGGTCATAGGCATACCATAATAATATTAGACACTTGAATGAATGAATAAATACATTTCTTGCAGCCTCATAGCCGTTTACCCGCCGAGCCCTCAGCCAGCCACAAATCCAAGTCGCGCAGCATCTACACCAAATCGGTGCCCAACAAGGTGACCTTGAAACTCAAAGGCGGCCTCGCCGTCGACCCCGATTCCGGACTGGAGCACTCTGCGCACGTGTACCAGTCAGGCGGCGACAAGTATTCGGTGGTGTTGGGCATCACGGATATTCAGACGAAGAAGAACAGCTACTACAAGCTGCAGCTGCTCGAGGCCGATGCGGGAAGCCGGTACTGGGTGTTCAGGTCGTGGGGGCGCATCGGGACAACCATCGGAGGTGAGTGCGTTTGTCGATTTATTTTTTCGAATTAGCTTTATTTTCAATTCATATACAAACAATACAAAAAACGTTTCTTCTTACCCTATATCACATATATCAGACTTTATACTGCTAAATTCAATAGATACATATGTATGTACAGGGTGTTTCTGGTTGAGAAATGTTTATATAGTTTGAGTGAATACTCTTAACTCCATAGTTTAATTATTAAATGTAAATTTTATTTTTTCATGTACTCTTAGTAGCATGAAGATGAGTCAATATTGCGTCCATCTTGTTTATTATGTACTTAGATTGTGTAAACATGTTACGTAGTTTTATTCAACGTGCTATGTTATTTTCTTATTGTTGATTTATTTTATAAATACCTACCGTACTACCATGCGGTTCCATCCTGACTCTTCTTTATACAATTGTATGTTGTCTAAAATAAATAAAGTGATTTGATTTTGATTTGATTTAAGTACATGTAGAAAATTCAGGAGCATGTTGCTGACGTCAAAATAAGAAGAAACATTCGTATAAATATATGTCCGAAAGGTATTCGTTTCTGAGATACAGAGTGTTGAAGTTGAATTCTTATTTTTGTTTTTTGTCAATGAATTCCATAATAATTCTGATATTCGAATGAAGTTTGGTATCTAGGAGTATTTTTCAATGAGGATATCAAATTTTCTGTTAGTTTGTCTGTTTCGTGGGGGTGGCGCCATCTACATGTCTTTTGAGTCTTTTGAAAAGTCATAACCTATTTGTGCGTACCTGTATCACGTTTTGTAGGAGAAAAATATATTTCTAGGACACTTCTATGTGGAAAATATATTTTTGGTAGAGGTCGATGCCAGCTACTGTTTCGAGTTATTGGGATTTGAAATAATCCATGCATTTGAATTATTTCCATGGGGCTCGTAAGTCGCCTCTAAGTAGTAAATATCAGAAAAGATACGCATTTTTCTTCTTTCATTCAATATTCTCCTTCATTCAACAATTCAACATTGGAATGTACCAAATGATTTTGGTAGCTATCGTATATAAAAAAATAATCGTCTCATGTATCCTTTCTACGTGCATTACTAACGTGAATGTAGAGGTTGACCTTTTGGATGGATAACCATGTGCGTAACATAAGTGCGGTAGAATGTTTCTAAACAGATATGTTTTTTGTGGGTGCTGAACGCGAATCTGAAGTATGCTGTCTCGTAGCAGTCCCGACCAAAGTCAAAAAACGCAAAAAACTTTTTTAGAGTATATCCGGTTTTCCGCTCATATCTTACAAACAACGCATCGTATGGAAAATGTTATGGTATTCAAAGTTGAAGAGCATAAAATTATGCGTCAAATATCTTTCCTCACGTCCTCAGTTCCAAATTCAAGGTCGCTATCGTCATATAAAAAAGCCAATTTCTAACAACTTTTGTGAATACAGCAATATACTTACTGTTAGACACCTTTTTTTACCCAAACAACAATTTGAATAAATTTGATATTATTTTCAACAGGGTTGGGCTGATTTAAATCAATTGATTTAAATCAAGATAAAAATCATGATTTAAATCTAGTGATTTTTTTTTAAATCCCAATTTAAATCAAAATAATAATTTCGAGAACATTTATTATTTATTCGAATAATAAAAAATATTAAACTGAAATAAAATAGTAAAACCCCTAAAAAAACGGGATATTGAAACATATACATATGTATATCTTAATCATACTCTACATTATTATTTTATAATCATAAGTTTTCTGACATTGAAACTAACATAGAACATTTTAATTTTCATTATAATATTTAAACAAAAATACTAATTTTCCTGCCTTTTCAACCCCCAGTCTATTTCTCAAATCTGAATGTACCAGCCCAAAGGTACTGAACACTCGTTCCACTGAGGCTGAAGAAACAATAGCACAAAGAAATTTTTTTAACACAGGTATCTGTTTCTTGATTTCTGATTCATTGTCAGCTTGTGATAGCCACCACTGAATTCCACTGACGTTTTTCGTAATTTCTTCAGAGAACATTATGTTTTTGAAGGGCAAAGAACGAGCATTAAATTTTATTGGTAATGGTAATAATCCACTATTACCATACATTTCCTTTATAGTTTTTAAAGCCAAATTTTTTTCATTGACAGTCAACCTGTACTTTTGCTTAGATGGGTCCATCATATAAGCTATCAAGTGGTAAGGGGTCAGTGCTTGTTCATATTGGCGCTGAAATTTCTGAAGCTGTTGAATTGATAGATTTTGATCTTCTTCAAAGATATATTCTAAGTTTTTCCATTGATCTACGGCATTTGAAAGAGTATGTTGACATGTATGTTGACAGGTACCTACCTATAATTTATCGCGCATTAAGACCAAAATAAAAAAAATCAAAAAAATCCAAAAAATCATGATTTTTTTATTTAAATCAATGATTTTTGATTTTTTTTAAAAAAATCAAGATTTGCCCAACCCTGATTTTCAATAATCAATTTGGATTCAGGGGGAAAATATCAACACAGGATGCAATTTTAGCTTTGACAACTAAAATAACAGAAGCTCTCAATGATAGCAGTCCATTTCTTTCTATATTTTTCGATTTTTCGAGAGCATTTGACACAGTTAGTCATGACCTCTTACATTCTTTGGAGGAAATTGGTGTCAGAGGCATTTGCTTAGAACTTTTCAATAGCCATTCAAGCGAGAAAACCCAGACTGTGAGTGTTGATGGTGTATTTAGCGGTGTCGAAGCAATTGACCATGGAGTACCACAAGGAACAGTGCTAGGACCCATTTAATTCAACATTTACATCAATGAACTGTTTTCACTCAACAGTCGCGGGGAAATTTTCGAATTTGCTGATGATACAGCAATTTTCTATTGGTTCTTATAACTGGGAAAATCTAAAGGACGTTGCCGAATCAGACTTCCGTTCAATAAAAAAGTGGTTCGAATACAAATTACTCACAGTTAACAAAGGAAAAACAAACTACTTACCATTCAGTTTCAATTCTCATGGGGGATTCACACGTAATGTTCGTTGTGAAAAAGATGAGATGCATACTCTATAAGTTAAGAAGGCTCAAAGAAAACTTACCGATAAGTCAAATGAAAATTCTTCATCATGCTCTGGTTGATAGTTATATGCGTTATGGAATTTTGGCATGGGGTGGAGCTCTTGAAACTCATCTGAATCCATTAGATATCATACAGAGAAGATTTATGAAAATAATTTGTTCATCAAAATTCCAGATACTCTTCTGATGAAATTTATTCCGAAACAGAAATCTTGGACCTGAGACAATTATACTTTTTCATTACTTGCATAAAATATCACAGTACGCGACATTATAACCAACTACCGAAGCATAATTACAATACCAGAAGAAAAAATCATTACGTTCCACCTCTGATGATCAAAACAACAACTCAGAGAATGTTCATCTACTTAGCTCTCAAGTTGTACAATAGCATTCCTGATAAATTGAAATGTATAGACAACAAGAAAATATTCAAAAAACAATTGAGATAGTTTATAAACGAATATCCACGATATATGATTCGATCTCTCTTTGATATTGAAATAAAATGAAAATATCATGCCTAAATTACATTGTCCTGCCTTCCACAGTACTTCATTGATCAATACAACATACCTACACATTTCAATATATATATTCTTGGTGTGGGTGTCTGCGTGTATGGATTATTACGTTTATTCATTTGTGAATATACTAAATGAGTGTAAAATAATTGAAGGGGTGATTCCTCGTCGAAAAGAAGATAGGATCTTTCATATAAAGAAACTTTATAGGAGCATCCCATGTTAAGATACAGGCCCTTGAAGGGGGTACATAAAATTTGTTTAGCAATTTTTTTCACAAGCACTAAAAAAGTTACAGTATTGAAATTAACCTGACATTTTCTACTACCAAAAGACACTTAGCCAGTAATTTATTTGGTTTACCCCTTGGTTGTAAGGGGTGGAAAACCGAACCCCTAAATTTTATTTTCAATGTAACTTTTTGTCTTATTATTTGTTTACCATTTAAAAATGTATTTCCGATTGCCTGTTTCATTCTGAACAAAAAATGTCCTATGAATTTTTTGCCCAAATTGAACCAGTTTGCAGCAAACTGGATTTATTGTTTTTTTGTGGTTAGTAGTTATCTACCTCCTCGATTAAATGTTAAGGCATACGTTCAATTTTTAGAGAAGTCCATCCCGTACTGTTGGAGGAAGTTCCTTTGGTCGTCAGAAGGGACATGTTTTTTGTGCATGATGGAGCTCCCGTCCATTTTAGTCAAGTAGCACGTCAGCATTTAACTGAAACATATATGCAAATCAGTGGATAGGTCGAGGAGGACCACAGAATTGGCCCACTCGATCCCCGGATCTCAATCCTCTCGATTTCTCTACTTGGGGCCATTTACAGCATTTGGTTTATCGTACTCCTGTTCACGATGTAGAGGACTTAACATCATCGATGCGTGCAGTGTAGTAAGAGAGATTCTAGGAATATTTGAGCGAATACGTGGCTCAATACGAAGACGTCTAGACACATGCGTAATGTCTGAAGGTAGAAATATTGAACATTTACTATGATTTCTACATGTTGTATGTTCTGTTATTGATTAACTAGCTTTGTTTATTCCCCTTCAATCATTTATTGCAGGTAGTAACTACAAAATATCTGAGAATATTCCTTTTCAACATCAATAAATCCAGTTTGCATTTATGACGATGTATCTCAGTAGTTGTTCGTAAAATAATTTTTTGCTGCGAACTGTTTTATTTTGGGCAAAAAATTCAGAGGACATTTTTTGTTAAGAATAAAACAGGCTATCGGGAATAAATTTTTAAATGGTAAACAAATTGTTAATTATTTTTTGATACTTGGTATATCGGTTATTTTTGATATCCATGTGTGCTGTATAGTTAAGTTGTTGATTTTACCATTGGTGACGAGAATAAAAATCTATGAAAAACCAGACTCCTCGAGCCGGATAAGAACTAACGTGGTAACACAGTAAGTTCAATTTTGAAGAGATTCCAGAAACGAAAATTTTTGAACGGTAACTGACATTCCAAACGAAAAAATGTCAGAAAAATTAAGAAGGTCTGTCAGAAAGAATTTGGGTAAAAATACAATGTTAGATCCAAACTTTGTATGGCCTCAGACAGTCCTGCCTACGAGAAACCCAAGTGATGCTGTTGGTGATCACATCAACATTGCTCCTTCAGCCTCAATGTCGCCATCTCTAACAGTAGATCATCTTCCTCCCAGTTTTAGTGAGAATGAAAGTACTGAGCATTCAACAGATATAAGGGAAACAGATTCAATGAACGAACAGACTTCCAGGTTGAGTGTGTCAGCATATTCCAAGAAGGAGGGAACTGTGATGTCTAGACAGACAAAGAAAAAATCGCAGATTTCCTCAAGGATATCTAAACATGAAATGGAGAGGAAAAAATTGGCGATAGATACAGAAAAGGCAAGAGCAGATTTATTGAAGAAAAGGTTAGAGATAGAATCCCAGCTGAAAATATTAGAATTAGAAAAAGAATTGGCCGAAGCTCAACTAGAAGACATTGAGGATGAAACTGAAAGAAGTTCTCAAGAAGAAGACAGTGAAATATTCAGAAGGCAGCAAGATATTGAAAAGTGGGTAGTCAAAAGTTCTATCATGAATAGGAATCCTAGCCCTGAATCTATAGAAGAGCATGCAGCGGATGAGAAGGAAGACGAAAACAGCTTGAATAGGCTTTGCCAAGTGATTGAGAAGGCAATTAATAGTGTTTCTTGTCCTGATAATACAAGAAGTCTATTGAATAGGCAAGTCCTAGATAGAGATCTACCTATTTTTGATGGGAAACCTGAAGATTGGCCATTGTTTATCACACAGTTCAACAGACGTATCGCAGTCTGTCAATATTCGGATGACGAGAAAATGCTAAAACTACAGAAGAGTCTGAAAGGAGAAGCTCTAAACAGTGTACGAGGTATGATGCTTCAACCGAAAAATGTTAATCTTATCATCCAGACATTAGAAATGCGCTTTGGTAGAGCTGAATATATCATTGATGCTCTAATTGATCAAATCCAAGCTCTTCCTGTTGTCAAAGATGGTGATTATGACATGTTCATCAAGTTTTCCTGCAATGTTAATAATCTAGTTGCCACGTTGGAACAACTAGGTGCAGGTAACTACTTGGACAATCCGTATTTGTTGAAGAAATTGCTGGAGAAGGTTCCCAATAACCTGAAGATCCAATGGGGCCAAATTGTGGTACGAAAGAACAAAAAGGAGAAACAAAAGCTACTTTGAAAGATTTTGCTGACTGGGCAGGTTCAATTGCATCAGCAGCTTGTTGTGTAGTCACTCCAAGGTATCAGCAGGCAAGTTTTCCGAATCGAAGTAGTAGAAACCCTTTCATTCGAACTCATGAAAAGGTTTTCCATACCAATACCAAGGATTTCCAGAAAGATGATTCACACTGTTTCTATTGTGATGAATTGAGTAGTCACAGTATAGTGAACTGTCCCAAAATGAAAGAAGACTCGGTAGATGATCGTTGGAAAAAGATAGTTGAAGCCAAGGTATGTTTTTCTTGCTTGGGCAGACGTCACAGGAAAATAAACTGCAAATCCAGTAGATTTTGTGGAGTCGATGGATGTAGAAGACGTCACCACTTCTTACTGCATAAAACCACCACAGATGCACCTGAAAATCGGAATGCTGTTGATATCAAGCAAGAAGACCACACCAAGAATACCCTTGATGAGAATATCAATGAAACCGTCCTTACAACCAAAGATAACTCGAAAGTTCTATTGAGGATAGCACCAATAAAATTGTATGGACAGAACGGTTGTTTCGAAACATTTGCTCTCTTCGATGAAGGTTCAACTGTTTCATTGATTGAAGAAAATATGGCAAAGAAGTTGGGTAATGTTGGCGAAATTCGACCATTCTGCATGCAATGGGCCAACGAGATTGTTCAAAATAATGAAGATTCCCAATGTATAGACCTGAAGATTGCTGGAATACACGACGATGCGAAAATCTACATGATGAAGAATATTCGAACTGTAAAAAATCTGGCACTACCTTGTCAAACGGTTGTAATGTCTGATTTCAATGAAGTTCATCTTCAGGGACTGCCATTAAGAGATATGAGGAATGCCAAACCAACTCTACTGATTGGACAAGACAACATACATCTAACAGTAGCCAGAAAAGTCTTCCAGGGCTCGACTACGAGTCCAGTAGTTACAAAAACACATTTGGGATGGGTCATACATGGCAATGTTGGACGAACGCTTGAAACTGACAATAATTTTATGTTCCATGTATGTTGCCAAGAAAATGAGGAAGATATAAACCGTCTCATTATGAACTCCTTTTCGACTGAGGCTTTTGGTGTAGCTGTGACGAACTCCAGCATGAATAAAGAAGAGAAGAGAGCCTTGGAAATCCTAGAGAGCACGACTTCGAAAATTGAGAATGAGAATCGATACCAAACTGGCCTACTATGGAGAAAAGACACTATTGTTATGCCTGAGAGCAGAAGGAACGCATTCAACCGACTTCTTTGCGTGGAAAGAAAAATGGCGAAAGACACATCATATTTCGACCAATACTGTGAGAACATTGAGGATTATCTCCGGAAAGGTTACATTCGTCGTCTAGAAGCTCCTGAAGTCTCCAACAAAAATCCAAGAGTATGGTATCTACCACATTTTGGTGTAGTCAACCCCAATAAACCGAATAAGCTGAGGTTGGTTTTCGATGCCGCAGCCAAATCTGGTAATACCAGTCTCAATGATAATCTCCTGCAAGGTCCAGATTACCTGAGTTCACTTCCTGGAGTATTGATGAGGTTTAGACGATGGAAATGGGGCTTTTGCGGTGACACCGCAGAAATGTTTCATCAAGTCCAGATAAGACCTGAGGATCGTTGTGCTCAACGATTTCTTTGGAGAAAGGGAGACTCAACCAGGGATGTAGATGAACATGTGAAGAAACCTATTATTTTGGACCCAAAAAGTAGGTATACTAAATTAATAATCCAATACTATCACGAAAAAAGACACCATCAAGGATTTGAGATGGTTTTGAATGATTTGAGACAACGGTTCTGGATTATAAAAGGAAGATCTGCCGTGAAAACGACATTCAAGAATTGCCAACTCTGTAGGATTCGCAAAGCTAAACCCGATTATCCAGAAATGGGCCAATTACCACCTGCAAGACTTACTGAGAATGTTAAGCCCTTCACATTCACAGGCATCGACTATCTTGGACCATTGTATGTGTCTGTCGGAAGGCGTCGTGAAAAACGATGGGGAGTCCTCTTCACTTGTATGAATGCTATAAGAGCCATACACTTAGAGATAGCCCATACACATTCAACAGATGGTACTATAATGGCTAATCAGAGAATGACAGCGAGAAGAGGACCAATGAAATGTATATATTCAGATAATGGTACCAATTTTGAAGGCGCTAGCGAAGAATTGAAAAATTATTTCAATAACTTTGAGGCAGACCAGTTGATAGGAAAACTAGCTGAACAACAAATCCAATGGCACTTCATACCTCCCAGCAGTCCAAACATGGGTGGATGTTGGGAAAGATTAGTTGGATCAGTTAAACGAGTTTTAAATAATATGTTGAAGGAAGAAGCTCCCAAAGATGAAGTATTGTTGACTGTTTTTGCAGAAGTAGAAAACGTAGTTAACAGTCGTCCGCTTACTCATGTTTCCCTGGACCCAAATGATCCGGAGTGCTTGACACCGAATCATCTATTAATCGGTTCACCAAGTCAACCTTCGCTTTCTCAAGGTGACGAAGATCTGAGGAAACAATGGAGAAGATCTCAACGATTAGCAGATATTTTCTGGACCAGATGGATCAAGGAATACTTACCAACATTAACCAGACGTGGAAAATGGACAAAAACCACAGAACCAATCAAATTGAATGATATTGTTGTGATAGTAGACCAAAACCAACCAAGAAATTCATGGACCTTAGGGAAGATTGTAACTACCTTTCCAGGAAAAGATGGTGTAACCAGGGTGGTAGAAGTCAAGACTTCCAAAGGAACTTACCGCCGCCCCGTTAATAGACTATGTAAACTCGATGTACAGGGTGAAAATTCTTGAGTAGATTTTTGCACGGTGGGGAGTATGTTAATTATTTTTTGATACTTGGTATATCGGTTATTTTTTGATATCCATGTGTGCTGTATAGTTAAGTTGTTGATTTTACCATTGGTGAC